TGTAAAAAAGATGGACGGTGAGGATCGCGAAATAAGGTATAAGAAGATACGTCGAATTAGCTCCGGTCCGACGAAGACCGGACAAAGTTATTTAAATAGACCACTGATAGACAACTTGGTTTTCGACGAATAAAATTGTAATGAGCTTTAGATTTACCGCCGCGGATGCACCACTCTGAATCTACTTTCAACTATGGAAGCCTTCCGGTTGGACAAAAGATGGTAATTATGAGAACCCGCATATACTGCAATAAATAAGCGACAGGAAGAGGAATGTGTAACAGTTCAAGAGGAAATGCATGGCAAGTCGCTGAAAAACCCTGAAACTACACATAGTTTACCATACCTTCTAAAAGCGACATACTCCTCCTTCCTTTTGAGTATAAATTAAACGCAACGTCCCCTTCCGCGACCATTCTTGGGGATATGGTTTTAAAAAAATATATGATACAGCAGGGAAGATTTTTGCACAATGCAGGATTATGTGTGAGGGCAACGTAAGAGAAGGGAACTTTAATCTACGCCAAGAATAAAACGGAAGGCCTGTTCAAAAAGTTAAACCAAACGTCAAGTACCATGGCGACCAGTTCACAATGATCAACTTCCTTGTCTTCATCAGCAGTGGTCCGCTCAGCCAATGAGGCGAGTTTAGCTGTCAACTCATCATGAGTGCGGGGTGCTTCCGGCGTCAGTCTCGGCTTGTGAAGCCAGGCAGTGGTATTCTTGGAACGGAGACTTTGAGGCATCAAGGAGGTGCCAAGAGAAGACGTCTTCATGACAGAAGAGACTGTTTTCTGTGTAAGCCACAATGAGCAGTCAGACGAACGACGGGCAAACGGAGCCTCAGCAGATCGCGCGAAATCAGCAAAGTCAGTCTACCGGAGGAGAGAGAAAAACTGTATTCTGATGGTTCTAAACATGAATCAGCTACCGAAAGTGGAATGCTTTTCGGTTCCAGTTGCCTTGGCAGCACGCAACTCAAGCAGCCGTAGAGACTGATCAGTATTATTAGGATTGAAAATGGCTCGATATAAATGTGTTAGAAGCAGGCAACTACAAAATATCAACACGGAGGCTGTCTCATTTAATAGTAGATTCTGTAAAAGCAATTAGAGCGACCCAACAATACAACAAGTTGTAAAAATGGGTTGTAGTACAAAAACCGAAAACAAATCCAAACCGAAGTTGCATTGATCATTTTTAGACAGCAACGGCCACCTATCTCCAGTGTGTTAGCACCATCAAGGCAAACACCTGTTGACCTTATATGTAAACGGTGCCAACGCGGCATACCCCCGTTTGCACATAATTAAGTGTTAATCCATCATCTGCGCCTACAATGTCTCGTTTAAGAAGCCTTGATGTAGCAGAAGTGTGACAAACTAGAACAGATGAGGTCTGAGCACAGCAGTACGGTCTTAGTTTATCAGTCGTGTCGATAAAAATCAGTAGACAATGGCCACTGCAAAGTATTTATGACATCTGAGATACTACTTCGACTCGTCTAGTGGCACCGCAGCAATTGGGTATGCTTATGGGCCTTACGGTTGTCTGCCCAGATCCCACAAGGATGATTTTCACCACCAACTCCAGAAAATAACAGCATAATTTGCTATAGATGACCGAAAAATTATTGCACTAAAATTGCATCCTCCACGAAGCATTCAACTGCGGTCAGAACGCTGAAATCTCTTCCCAAGAAGAAATCATCGATGCAGTACTGGGACACCAAAAACACGAAGGCGCGCTGGGGGGACAGTATCCCCGTTGATGTCTACAAGTTTTGTTTCGACCCTGGTGCCCTGACTCTGTTAAGGGATTGAGCGGCTCTGGGGGTGAGATCGTGCTTGATTCCTGATGATAGGCCATCCTTGTTTCGAATTTTCAGGTAATGAGATATCACGGTGTGAGAAATACCACGACATAAATTGTTCCATCGACCTTGCTGAAATGGTCTCTGCCACTGTTATTTTCAGGCGATTTTAGTTTGCGTGTGAGCCTAAGAAGAAAGTCAACTAATCTAGGCCCTGAGCTGGAAGTAATCGCAACAATCAGAGATACACAACATGGCGCATGCCTGA